GCCAAGCATCCAACGCAAGTACAGTGAATGATTTCCTAACATTGAGTTTTATGGCTTTCATAATAAGAGAAGCTATGAATAGATCCTCCCTGCTTCCATGATGCTTCTGATAGCATCAGCATAGGCAAGGGCTTGTTTGCCTTTTCTTGTCCTTTTAATTCCAGTCCTTCTAATTCCATTTACTCATGGGGTGATGAAATGGCCTCGTTGAGAGATCARCCAGCCTCTTAAAATAAAGCCTCTCCCTGCTTTAGCTGCTAAAAAACCCCTCCAAGGCACGGGGAAAATTCCAGCTCTGCTGTCTCAGAAAGGCTCCTGCAATGAGGGTTGCAAAAGGCTTATTGGTGGAAAACKGTTGGCTTCAAGTGGAAAGGATTTTGTCAGGGATCCTGGGAAAGATCTCTCATGTAGGACCATGACCTGGCTGTGCTCTGCTGGGTTAGATGGAGTGAAAATGTAGGAAATTAGTTCCCATGTCTTCCTGYTTTGAAACAGGATCAGAGTTAGGCACACCAAGGTTAGGCAAAGCAGATTTCAGGGGTTTTGTTTACCCAGTTTGTTGTTTTAGTGTTGATCCAGTGCAGACTGAAGCTCTGGAAGTAATTTGCTTCACCTCCTTGTTATTTTGTCTTTTGAAGTACTATAATCACAAAAATTTGGGTGATGTTAAAGTGGGTGATGTTACACTCTTGTGTAAGCAGTGAAAAAATGCAACGTGAAGGAATAAACTTAATTTTTCTTTCTGTAAATATTTCAATGTGGTTTTGTTTTTCAGCTTGGAAAGCAGAAGAAGAAGTTCATGCCTTACAATCACCAGCACAAGTATTTCTTCTGTGAGTATCCCCTAAAATGATGAGTGCATCTCTTCCCCCACCCAGAATGAAGGTTTCAGAGATATTCCCATAGGAGCCACAGCTTCAGGAAGCTTTCTTCACCTTAAAGAATATCCCTGTGAGGAAAAAACGCCCCTTAAGTCTCTGTTTGGGTTATGAGATGAATCAAATAGAGGGAGGAAAGGGACTGGGAAAGAAATGGAGAAGTAATGACATGAAAAGAGGAAGAGATTATATGGATGCATGGAGGTTAATATGAGTGGAAGTGAAATTACAAATGTCTCTCTCTTTCCATTCTGTCCCTCAGTGCTGGCCCCACTTGCCCTCATACCCTTCTTCCAGCTGTCAATAATCTACTTTGCAGTCAAGAGGAAAAAGTGGTTGGTAAGCACTGCTTCCCTGTCTGGAAAACTCCAAAAATGTCATTATTTTTGCCTTAATCTCCTTCTGGTCAGGCGACTGGGAAGTAAGAGAGAAAAGGGAGAGAAAAGGCTGATTCTAGGCTTTAGAAGAGGCTTTTTCRCCTTTTAGCAGATAAATAAAAGTTACAAGGAAATTCCCAGACTCAGAGTGTGATRGCAGGGCTGTTGGCTGCAGTCATTGATGGTTAAGTGGGAATATTTCAGGGATACACCCTCCTTGATGCAGAATGGAGCTTACTCCTAATAAATCAAAAAGAGATTTGCACATCAGAACATTTTTTAAGCTGCAGCTCAAGTAAAAGGGAGAGGATGGAGTGGAGGGATTTCATCAACAAAGATTGATTTTCATCCTGACTTTTTGGGTTGTTTTTTTTTTTTTTTTGGGGTTTTTTTTTTTTTTTTTGTTTGTTTGTTTTTACAGGAGCTGGTATTGATGGTGGTTTTCCAAATCCGAGTCGCCCTCATGTACGTTCCTTTAATGGGATTTAAAACCTTCATGATGTACTACTGGATATCCAGGTAAGTCAGAGCACACCCAGAGCCCCAGTAATTAATATTTGTAATCAATATGGAGCTTCAGAGAAAAGGAATGAACACTAAAACTACAATTTTCTCAGAAATAAATCATCCAGAAGAAACAGTTTCACTCCARGGTGGTGGTGGCTGCTCATGGACATTTGCAACTACAACTTGAGTGGTTCTTAAACTCCGAAAGTGCTTTTTTTGCTTAAGAAGAGACTGAGAAAAGTGTTTTAATATTAAATTTGGATGGGATTAGAGACATCATAAGTGTTTCTGTGTTTATCTGCCCAGGTACTTTGAGAGTAACTGGTTTATTTGGGTGACCCAGATGAATCACATCCCAATGCACATTGATTACGACCAGAACAAAGACTGGGTGTCTACTCAGGTGAGAAAGTCCTTTCTTCTGGAATACCAGTCTGCAGTTCTGATTTACAGGACAAACCCACTTAGATTTAGTGTTAATGAGCTTTGTCCTTGCATCCATTGCATAAATATTTCTGTGATATTCAAACCATTTAAAAATTTTTAATGGAAATCTAAAATGGAAATTTTTTCAATGGAAATTTCCTGTTGGATAACAAGATACCTAGATTTTTTTTAAAGCCATATTTTTCACAACACTTTTCCCTCCCTATTACAGCAAAGTACTGGTGGTATAACAGTCAATATCCTTTTCGGGCCAACTAAAGGGGAGCGAAGTGGGATACCTTTATTTTTACCCTACAGGCTGCAGGTTCACTGCAGATCAGATAAATGTGACAAAATTGCCATAAAAATGAGTATGTAAATGGAACTTTGCTCACATCCATCCTGCCTCCAGCAGTATAATCCCACATAGTGGATTTGAAACAATTACCCATTTTATCAAGGGAAAAGACTCAGCCTGGCTAATCTAGACTGTGTTGGATTCCTAAGGGTAATAGTGGCTGTAATCCCTGACTTTGCCTTGATTTTTGGGCTAGATACGGGTGGGCAGTGATTTCTGGGGGTTCAATTGTGAGACTTGCAAGAAAATAAAATCTAAATCACRTGGGCTTTTGGGTTTTTTCCCTTCCCAGCTCTACGCCACCTGCAATGTGAACCAATCTGTGTTCAATGACTGGTTCACTGGGCACCTCAACTTCCAAATCGAGCACCAGTGAGTATGATCCTGAGGAAAAGAGAAGGAATTATCTGGGGGGCAGGGGGCTCTTTTGAACAGGGAGGACAGGGAGTGGCACAAACCAAGTTTTACAGTCTSTCCCTCATCCCATTCTGCAGCCTGTTCCCCACAATGCCTCGGCACAACTACTGGAAGGTGGCTCCTCTGGTGAAAAGCCTCTGTGGCAAGCACGGCATTGAGTATAAAAGCAAGCCTTTGCTGACAGCCTTTGTAGATATTTTGCAGTAAGTATCAATTAACAAAATCMTTTTGCTCTCTAATGGCAGGGAAGAGACAGGCAGGCAGTCATTTCTGTGCATTTCAATGTCCATGCAGAGAGCAAATCTAGAGTTTATTTAGATTTTTCTAAAGGCATGTTAAGTTTTAAAGTTTCAAAGCTTCTTCTTGTCATCCTTAAATCCTCTCAACTCATTCCCAGTAGTCAGACTTTGCTATGAGGTGTCCATGCAATTTAAAATCCCTTTTTTCCCTTTTGTTTAACTACAGTTTGCTTCCCACAAAGTTGAACACTTCCGCTCCTAAGTGATTTTTTTTTCTCTTCTGTTCCTGCAGTTCCCTGAAGGATTCTGGGGAGCACTGGCTGGAAGCATATCTGCATGGATAAAAACTGGCAATTCTGCCAAAGGAATCCCTTCACCAAATAACTGCTTCCAAGAGGAAGGACTCACCATCCCTGTGTGTGTCTTCAGGCACAGGAATTCAGGAGCTGGGCAAAGTTAATTTCAGTAAGAATCAARTGGGAAGGTGGCTTCAAGATACATTTTTTCCTTGTTCCCAGCCATGAACCTCTGTTTTTTTTCCTGCTCTCCATCTCAGAATTCAGAGATGGGCTTTCAAACTTGGGGAGAAGCAGCTCTTGAATCAGCTTGATCAGTTTAACTTCATTGGAAGTGCCAGCTCATTGCTTATGGAAGAAGTTTGGAAGGAAATTCTTCACGGAGTCATAGAAATGTGGAATGGTTTGTGTTGGAAAGGACCTTAAGGATTATCTTCTTCCACTCCCTGCCCTGGGCAGGGACACCTTCCACTATCCCAGRTTGCTCCAAGCCCCATCCAGCCTGGCCTTGAATACTTCCAGGGCTGGGGCAACCACAGCTTCTGTGGGAAACCTGTTCCAGTGCCTCACAATAAAGAATTTCTTCCTAATATCCAGTCTAAACCCATCCTCTGTCAGTTTAAAACTCTTGTCCTTCATCCTGTCCCTGCAARTCCTGGTAAAATCTCTCTTTCCATCTTCCTCACAAGCTTCTTGCAGTATTAAGGTCTCCTTAGTGTTTTTGGCTTAGTAAAAAAAGCAGGAAAAGTGCAGGAAGTCAGGAGACATTTGGCCAGGGGGAATTTTTAAGGGATATTCTAGAACACATCCAGTAAAGGTGAAAAGGACAAGTGGCCTGAGGCATGACCCTGTCACTTCAGATCACGTGTGGACCCCTCGCTCTGACTATTAAGTGTTGCAATCAGTTCATGGATTGCATGGGCAGGCAGATGAGCTGGGGACCGGGAACACGGTTTGTATGGCACGTGGTATTTATGGGCATAAATAGGTGTTTTAATGGAGTGCTGACTGTGCTGTATGATTTGCTTTCTGCTGTAGACCAACTGTGAATCAAGCTGAGAAGCCCAGGCACTGAGGGGTAGGTCCAGACTTCAAGGGTATTTAGGGTACTCTTGCTTCTACAYAGATTACATTTTATCCAAAAGTTTACCGCCCAGAGGTTTAGTACAATTAGTAATTACACAATAATTATGAATAAAATTCTTCATCACGATTTTTAGATGGAAGTCAATGCCTCTTTTAGAACAAGTGTGTGACCTCTGATTAACCTTGYTGATTTTGCAAAGAAATTATGATTCAATGACATTTCCTAAGGCCACTTAGAGCAAATATATTCCTTTATGGGACTGGCAGAACCTGTGATGCTGCACCCACATCACTGACCCAAACCCACAAAGGTTTTCATGGCAAAAACCTGGAGTGGCAAATAAACAATTTGCCCATAAAAGCAAAGGCCAAGTGGTTCTTCTCCTCTGCCATTCACAYCCGGAACTTTCAATGGATAAATCGTCTAAAGGAGGAAGATGTGGGAGATTTAAAATCACCCAGATGTGTTACAGTTTACAGACACCAATATTCCTCTCCTGGGTAACAAGAACAAGCCCAACAAACAAAGCAGAAGGAATTTGGACTTCTTATATTTGCCTTTGCTTTTTTTCAAAACAACTCCAGCTCTTTATTTATATTTTTTTGTGTGTAGGTGCAGGTATCCATAACACTGTTCCGGTTCTTTCATAATAAAGGCTGACGGATGCTTTTGAATAGGGTCCTGTTTAAAAAAAAATACACCTGTTATTAAAAAGTGCTTAAAATGTAGTTTGGAAATCCCTGCTAACTAGTACCTAAAGCAACCCTGTGTTCCCGAACCCAGGGCTGATTAGAATGGTGATGTCCATAATTATTTGCAAAAGCAGAAACATTTTACAAGTATTTGAGGGCTAATACTGTCTTAAGATGATGCAAGGATTTCATGGTACTACATGAAGACATTTTAAAATTGAAGTCTTGCAGAAGGTAATATAAATATTAAAGATTCCTCCTTTTTCCTGTTTTACCAGTGAGACTTGAAAGCTGTGCTGATTCTGAGTCCCACTGAAACCAATACTGGGCTGAATCAAAATGATTCTTTGTGGTGTCAGTCTCATAAATCAAACAGATCATTTGTAGTGTTTAATTAGAATTCWGCTTATTTGAATGTCATTATTTATTGAGTCTTTTTTCAACCTGGTTTTAATTAAAGCATTTCTGTCTCTATTTGTCTCAACAGGCTGCTCTGTGTCAATAATAATTTCTTTATTTGTTTAATAAAGGTTATTAACAGTGGAGATGGCTTACCTTGGCTAAATTCTAACATGGTGCACAAAYTCCAAGGGGTCAGGTGAAAACTATAATATTCCCTGAAAGACAATATTGGCCATCTGGAATACCTGGAAGAGACAAGGAAATTAGGGAGGTGCTTTGCAGAATCCTGCTGACAGAAGGAGTTTGTGCTGAGGTGCTGCTGGAAGCATTTCCCTTATGCAGGTAGAGCAAAAGCTCTTTTGTATCATTTTGTCCTTCACTCAGGTCCTAGATTCAGGGATGCAATTGGATAAGGTGGTTTGGGTGGAATCTGACAAGAAGGATTTAGAAACGGATTGAACATCTCCTTTTCCTGCTGTTGTCCTGCTCTGCGTGGCAACACCTCAGCCTAGAACCTCTTTCCTGAGTGTGAAATTATTCACTTACRCACTGATTCCTCTTACCAGCCACCCCTGCAAAAAATTCCTTCCTTTTTATGGCCTGAATGCTCTTCAATAATTGGGGAAGGCAGCTTGTTTCCTGCCTTGAAGGAAATTCCAACTTGTGCATCCATAAAGAGAGAGCCARCCAGAAACAGAAGTTACATTGACACTGAACTCCAATAAAACAGGAGMTTTTATTCCAGCTTGCCACCTTAAAAATGCTTTTTCTTCAAGTGCTGCCCAAGAAGGTGTGTTCTGCTACTGCTGCAAAGCCCTCGAAGTGCTGAGCTGTGCTCCCCTGCAAGTACAGAGCTGCCTCTGTCTGAGCAATTTTCCTCTTATCACCCACCCAAGGGTGGGGCGTGCTTGGTTTTCCTGCTGCCATCCCCCCGAGGGGCCCCATCCCATGGGCACGCTTGGATCACACTCACACAGGCAGGGCTGGATATTTATGAGGACATCTATGGCTGTTTTGTCTCAAAARAGGGGCTGGGAGAGGCAATCCGGCATCCTTTGTAATTAAACTTACAAGGTTTGGATGTGTAAGTTTTTATCTTAGGCTGCAGCCCCGAGGTTCAACTTGTCCTTCAGAAAATTCCTCAATCTCCTCCATGGATTGTGGCAGGTTTGTATGAAAATATTAATTATTTCATTAAGCTTCAGGTCTTCTTAACTGGTGAGTTGTAAGGATGTTCCTCACTTGAGCCCTTGGCCCCTCRAGGATATTTTTCTATTTTCTCAGAAAGATATAAATATATGTAAATACATTTTCTTCATATCCTCTTCTCATCGATGATAGATGAAATAATCAGGGATCAAGTGAAATAATAATTACTGATTTTTCTGGACACTAAACTCAATCTAGTCTGAAARAGAACATTTTTCCCTAAAGGTTCTWCRTTYCTTCTTGGAAGTAACACATACAYATMCATGTGAAWATACATCTTTTAGGKCTCTTTTAGGTTCTGGAAATGGTCTCGAATTCTCCCTATTGACTCTTCCATCCTTAAAATATTTACGACTAAAGTCATATTTACACAGTGTGTATATTTTATCAGCAGAGTGGTTATGCTTAGAAGAGTAAATACRTTTATATTTGTAGGTTTGTGATTTTTTTTCCATTMTAAAAACATGCTCAGCCACCCATGCTATCTTTTTGCACCAATTAATCCARTTTATTGATTGGAGGTGTTGACACRAAGGTGCTCACTAGAGCTGCTATTCCAATCTATGATGGGTTAGGAGAGATTAATTTTAAATGCATTAGTGAAATAAAAATAAAGGCGATTTTTAAAGCACTATCCTTTGCCTTCTGGGGTTTTAAAATAGCATATAACACCTGAAAATCCAGCAGGAGCATCCAGAATCCAGCCCTGTGAGGCGACCATTGAGCAAGAAGAAGCCAATTATGCAAATGAAGCCCATATTCCCTGCAAGAATTGCTGCACAGAGAGATCTGCATGACCTTCATTTCACTCTGACTCACAACTCCACTTTTAGGAGCAGAACTGTGCACAGCAATTGGATCCCAGTCGGTGAAGRGCTGGGATTTGGTTACACAGGCTTTGCTACCTGTTTACAACCTGTTGTATCTGTGTCAGCTTCGATTTGTGGTCTGTGGGGTACCTAGAACAACAAATAGGCAGGAGAGGGCAACAAGGACCACATCAGATCTGAGCATTATCCCAGAGCCCAAAAGTGGATGCCTGAAGAAGGAAATGAACCCAGCTTCAACAGGGATTAATTACAATGTTTGTTTTATTATCATACGTGGGCACAATGACTTGTCCCATGTGGGAAGAGGCAGCTCTGACTGCAGTGATTTAAAGGGTAGCTCTCCTCAGGAATTACCACTTCCACTCCCACTGATTTATTAGGATCTTTGTAATTGCATCCTCACGCCAGAGGTCCCTAATATTCATCTAACCCTCTTCTGTTCCTCTGGAATTACAACATAGCCTAAAACTCTTTGCAGTAGCAGTGGATGTACCAGGCTGTGGCTCCTCATGAAGCTGAAAGAGTATTTGTTTTTAATTTTTTTTGTCTTTATTTTTTTTTTGTTGAAATGGGTGTTACAGCTGCGCACACCATGACAAACAAAACAAGCAAACAAAAAAAAAAAAAAAAAAAAAAAAAAAAAAAAAAAAAAAAAAAAAAAAAAAAAACAACAAACCAAACTCAAAACCCACATAAAAAATATGTATTAAAAGATCTATGCCATAAAAAAAATTACTTCAAACTCAGATTCCCTGCGTTCTCCCTGTTATGTCARGGAGAGAGGAGGACCCCATCAATTYTGGAATGTTCTGCCTGGGTTTTCTATCAGGGAAATAGATGGAATACAAATTCCAGCTGAAATTTCTGATGCCCTGTTGCAACACCCCATTTATGAAGCTCCAATTTGCTGAATCAGAAATTCATCAGCCATGCAGAGCAATGAGCAGGACAAAGCAGGCAGGGACTATCCAGAAAAATGCTCATCATAATTATTTAAATATCAGCTCTGGGACAAGAGCTAAAAGTTTGACATTGCAGCACACAAAATTTKCTCAATGTAAGTGGTGGTGATGTAAGGTTTTAACCCTAGGATTGAAGTTATAGGCTGTGGGTGTGTGAAAATGAAGGAGCTGCTCTCAGGGTAGTTTTAGATCCTGTCTTTTTAATCACTTCTTTTTATTGCTCCTACCAGCTTTTAAATGAAAAGAAAGTCCCTTGGGTAAGAAGGTGGGARATGCTGATAGCCAGTGAGGTGAGGAAAAACTCAGGCAATGTGATCATCCAGCCAACTCCCCATCCACCCTACAGTCCTGACTTTTGTGCTCTCTGGGATGAGAGGAAATCCAGCAGTGCCCAAAATTGTGGTAGAAAAAGTACTGAGGAAACTTTTCCCTGACTCAAAATAAGGTGTACTTGGGACTGTGGTTTACAGTTTGAGCATCTCTTTGAAATGTGTCTCCTCCAATGAAAAATCTCAACTCCTTTTTGTCATTTAATCCTTTTCATTCCCTGCATCACCRCCCTGAGCTCCTCATTTTGATTACTTGCATTTAAAACTAGTCAATGACAAAAGGTTCTGTGTTGTATCTTTAACCAACATCTCCCATTTTTTTTTTCTGTATAAACTCTTAATTTGCATCTTTGCCATGCTCACCAGTCCAAAATCTGGATATCCCTGGGTAGTTTCCCTGCCTGTGTGAGTTAAGTTGCCACCTCCATCTCTCCCTAATAACACTTTGGGAAGGGATTTACCTCTGGGCTACTCTCTCCAGGTTTGTTACTCCCGGGGTTTTGCCACTCTTTCTTTCCCCCACTATGTTGGTTTGAAATAAATATTGGGGGTGGGGGATATCCAGCATAATGCCTTGATTTAGGCAGTTGGGCTGAATAAAATTTGCTGATGTTCCTTGCCATGAGTACACCCAGTGCCCTACAGAGCAGAGGAGATATCCCAGCTCGTGTCCTGCAGATTTGCTGACAGTGTGCCAAGATAACAGATACAATGGCAGCAAATCCAAGCAGTTGGCTTTTCCAGGGAGCTGTACAAGAGCCCAGTTCCCTATCCCTGTCTTCCTTGCACTGTGGTGCCTTTCAGGCCTTGATCAGCACCAACTGCAGTCCTTTTATGTTGCCAGGGCCTCACCACCCTCACAGGGAAGAATTTCTTCCCAATATCCAATCCAAACCCACCCTCTGGCAGTTTAAAGCCATTCCCCCCTGCCCCAGGAAACAAAAACCTTCCATTTTTCTCTTAATGAAAAAGAGAAACAGTCCATGGAATATAGCTTTTTCTTTAGAAAAAGTCCATGGAATATAACTTTCTTTGCTGCTGCCTCTTCAGCGCTGCAATCCCCGTGGAACAAAAGATTCCTGGAAAAGGAACTCTGTCTTGACTAACAAGCTCTTAAATATGACCTCAGATATTAAAAGCAAGTCTGAGGCATCACTGCCTCTTTCATGCAGTGTTATATTGTCTTCCATGAGTGTTGCATTAACCAGGGTGTGCCTGGTGCTCTTCTTGTCTGAATCTGTCGACAGCAAGATAATCCCTGTCGTCTCTGCTAAGAAACCCTCTCAACAGGTTTCCCACTGGAAGAGCTGGGACCTGGCAAGCCCAGAATTCATCTTCGAGCTCAACTTTGCCTCTRGGTCACTGCTTGACACTTTTAGCATCATTCCCACCTGGAACTGAGAGTAAACCCTGCCTGCTYCAGGCACTCTGGTACTTGCTAAAGCTGAATATTGGCTGTGGCAATGTGCTCCCCCTGCCAGTAAATGCATCCAGGTGACCGTGGAATACATGCCAGAATTATACTTTACGTTTTCTAAACCCAAAATGTGAAATCACCTGATTTTTGGGGTGCAATCCTCGGCTACTGGGGGTATTTTACCAATTCAGGAGSGAGCAGTTTCCCTTATGACCTGAAATCAAAGAAAAGCTTTCTTACTTCCCGAGTACTGTCAGAGGAATGTTTGACTATATGTGTATCTGGAGAAAACAGCTGTGTTTTTCTTCGCTCCCTAGGGGGAAATAGCTGAGTTTCTAATTGATTGATATTGGGGAAAATAAGGGGAGG